AGTTTTTCATTTTGGTTCATAGGAGTGCTCATTTCTTTACATTCTTCGAGTTTAAACTTATTCAAAATATCCTTGGCGTATTTCTTCTGACAGATGAAGACTTTTTGTTCATTTTGTTTAATTTCCATTCCAAGAAAGAATGTCATCTAACTGAGATCTATTATCTCAAAAACCTCCATCATTTCTTTCTTAAACTTCTCCACAAGACTTGTGTTGTTTCCTGTCACGAGCAAATCATCCACATATAGTGAGATGATAAGAATGTCAACTCCATTGTGCTTGACATACAATGCTGATTCAGATAAGCTTTTAGCAAATCCCAAGTTCTACAAATGTTCATCAATTCCGTTGTACCAAGATCTTAGAACTTGTTTCAATCCGTAGAGTGTATTTTTAAGAAGATAGACCTTGTCTTTTTCTCCTTCCTTTACATAGCCTTCCAGTTGCTCTACATAAAACCATTCAAGAACGCTGACTTAACATCTAACCGGTACAACTTTCAATTCTTTTGTGCTGCAACGACGAGTAAGAGCCTGGTGGTATCGAGTTTAGCTACTAGTGTGAAGGTATTTGAATAGTCCACACCAAGTATTTTAGCATATCTTTTGACCACTAGTCTAGCTTTATGCTTATTGATTGAGCCATCAGCATTAAGCTTGGTTCTGTACACCCACTTGACTCCAATTGCCTTTATGTTTTGGGGTCGATCAACCAACTCCCACGTTTTGTTCCTTTCAATCATGAATAGCTCCTCCTTCATTGCAACAATCCAATTTTGATCGGTCTTGGCTTCTTCATAATTTGTAAGTTCACTCACAGAATTGTTGCATCTTTGATAAACATCATAAAGTAGTCTTGTGCCTCTTACAGGAATTTCATCTACTATGCCATCCTGCCAGTCTCCTATGCTTTGTTCTATTGTGTCTGAAACATGAAACTTGAGCTTTCGCTCTTTTGAGGTTGGATCTATCTTCTTTGCATCATCCTAGATCCACTCTGTCTTCCATAAAGTGCACGTCCCTATTTATAACATTTTTTTCAGTTTGTGGCTAGAAAACTTTGTAAGCTTTTGTAACAGAGTTGTAGCTAATGAAGATATTTGAAGTGCTTTTTTATCTAGTTTATCTCTCTTGATCTGTGGAACATGAGTGAAGCACAAACATCCAAATATTTTAAGGAAATTTAGAGATGGTTTATAGCCATACCATGCCTCAAAGGGTGTTTGATCCTTCACTGCTCTTATGAGAAGCCTGTTTTGGTGTAAAAAAAAAATAGCAGTGTTTGCTGCTTCGGCCCAGAACTGCTTTGGTAGGTTCTTCACATGTAGTATACATTGTGTCATCTCCAATGTGAATCTATTCCGTCTCTCACTTACTCCATTTTGTTACGAAGTGTATGGAACGATTAATTGATGTTGAATGCCTTCCTCTTCACAAAATCGGTTAAATGATTCAAAAGTGTACTCATTGCCATTGTCTGATCTAAGAGTTTGAATACTACACCCACTCTCATTCTCAAGTCCGGCTTTAAAGTTCCAGAAGACTTGAGCCACCTCTGACTTGTGCTTCAAAAAGAAAATCCAGCACATATGGGTGAAATTGTTAATGAGTGTAGCATAATAAAGACTACCTTTAGAGAAGGAACTCTTTGTGGGCATGCAATTTTCGTATGAATCAATTGCAGCTTCTTTGATGCTCTCCATATTGCTTTGGGAAATGGTTTCTTGCTTTATTTTCCAAACTCACATGCTTTGCAGTTTGGAATGTGATCATCAAGTTCTGGAAGGTCATTTGCCATCATCTTGGATTTCATCTGCAACAGCCCATGATGATGATAGTGCCCGAGCCTCTTGTGCCATACTTATGTGATATTTTCTTTGATTGGGAAAGCAGTTTACTTCTTTTCCAATGGATTTAAAACAAAGCTTTTTCCTTTCATTTTTAGTTTGAAAATATCTTGGCCAACTGCATCTTTAATCAAGCAACTTTTGTCTTCGAACACAACTTTATAACCTTTTTCAATTAGTTATCGAACACTTAAACAAATTTTGATCAATTTCAGGGACATACAACACATCATAAATGAACTTTGTACTTGGACAGATAGAAATTGCAACTATTCCTTTTCCTTCCACGATTATGTACTTGCAATTTCCAATTCGAACATTCGACATATTTGTGCTCCTTAGTTCCCTGAATAGCTCCTTGTCATGTGTTGTGTAGTCAGTACAACCACTGTCGATAAGCCAATTCTCACTTGATTCGATGCCAGAGAAACATGTAGCCACGAACAATTGATCATCCTCCTCTTGATTAGCAATCTGTACCTATTCACCGCGTTGTTGATTTTTGTTTTTGTAGATTACAGCTTCCCTTTTTGGCCGTGAATTCTCCATTTGAACCTTGATGCCTTTTGCCCTTCTTTTTCTTGTTGTTTCTTGCATTCTCTTGATGCTTGACATATAAGGCTCCCTCAACATCATATTCCTGCCTCATAGCTCTTCTTTGCTCATGTGCTACTAATGCATTCAATAGCTTTGCCAGAATGATTTTTGACATATCCTCAGTGTTTTCTAAGGATGTAATTGTGGCCTCAAATTTTTCAAGCTTCGTTACAAGGATTTTTTCAACAATCCTTGATTCTGGCAGAGACGAACCGAGTAGTTTGACTCGGCTTGCAATGTTAAGCAACCTGTCAGAATACTCTTTGATGGATTTAGTCTTCTTCATCTTCTGCAACTCAAAGTTACGTACCAGGTTCAGCACTTGCATCTCTCAGATCCTTTCATCTCCTTCGTATTCGGTCTTGAGATAATCACATATCTCCTTTGCTGACTTTAGAGACATGATACGAGTGAAGATGGTGGATGAGACTGCAGCAAAAAAGCAAGACTTTGCCTTTGATTGCTTTGTCTTCTTTTCCTTCTACGCTTTAATATGTGCCATGGTGGGATTGTTCGGAAGTGCAAGGATTTTAGTCTTCTTCCACTGCTTCCCAAAGATCCAAAGCATCCAAGTTTGTCTCCATGCGTACTGTCTAAATCTGGTAGTTGTCTCCGTTGAACACCGGAGGAGCAATTGAGGAGAAACTGGCTTCGGCTTCCATTACGCGTCAAACTCACACACGGATCCCTTAAGAAGAGAGCTCTGATACCAATTGTGGTTAAATTTAGAATGAGAAAAGAAAAACAAGCAAAGCTTTGTTTTTAAAAGTATTGTTGCAGTAAAAGCAAATGAAATTGAGAACGTATTTTGAAGCGAAGAAAACTGAAATTACATAGTTAACATCAAAAACATTACAAGTTAAAGCTTGATTAATAACAACCCACTAAAGTCATGGTCCTAAGACTACGCCACGATCACAAACATGAATATCAAAAATAACTAACACCAAAAAAAAGGAACAATTTTGAAATAGTCAACTAAACAACATTTATAACTCCACATCAACAATCCTAAACACGTCTTCTAACAATTATTAGACAACTGAAAATCTTCCAAGAGTATGTAAACTTCGCCACAATATTTCTATTAAATAGATTAATAGCAGCAAAAGTACCACTGAAAAGAAACTATAAGAACGGAAGAGATCAAATGACATTTTTCATGAAAGTATTAGGTATAAACTCCCCTCCAGCACTGTGTAGGCAGTAATTTCAAGTAGATATTTAGTTTAGGAAAGTGAAACAAAAGAAAAGCAAAAACAACCTAGAAGACCGAACGAAACAAAAGAAAAACAAAAACATCCTGGAAGACCAAAGTCGGGGAAAAAAAGGTCAAATTCCCAGATGAGTCACTTCATCTAAAACCTTGAGCTGTAATAGAATGGACATATTTGTTTGTTTAAATTTTGTCTTCAACACAACCATACTTGCTGGCTTGATATTTTCACTAAGGCTTGAAACATGCACATTTTTTAAACTTGACTTAGGACCTTTGATTGTTCTAATACCACGTTGAACCTTCTTATCTAAAAACTTAAATTGTTAGAGAGGGGAGACATTTATTTATTTGAATATTGTCTTCAACGTTGCTAGGTACATATCTGGTTCGACTAGACAGCCAATCACCACGCATGAATGACATAAAGGTTTATCTGGAGAAAAATGGAGATCAAACAAGGCATAGCCAATACGTTGTGACATTAAAAATATTGAGAAGTGGCCCCCAAGACACATCTTCAAGTAGTAAAAGGGGAAGGTGAAAAAACTCAAACTTTGCTTGAGGCTACCGCGTCAAGGGTTCGAATCTTGAAATATGGATTTGGTCATTGAGTAAATGCAAATGTACAAGCAGTCTTCCACCCTGTACCCTGGAGACATAACCTGCGATTTATCTCTTTCAACAAGACACAAAACAGGGCAGATGGGGACCGTCAATGGTGCGACTCATCCTTTTTAAAATATAGAGAAGTGAACTCAAATTTGAAGACATGATAACAAGTACATGGGCTCCATTGACAGACATCATAAAATCACTAATCACGCAATATGCGAACTGATGAGTGGTAAATTATCTGTGTACGACTTGGATATGCCTAGGAAATATGAATTATAGTCCGGATGGTCTGTAACAGTCCGTCTCCCACGTCTCGTGTTTTGTACTCAATCTGAATGTTTGAGATATTATGTTAGCTTTCTGTAGTCAAATTCAGAAATGTTTAATTTTTTTGACCAGGTGAATGAATGCATTAATCGGGGAAAGGCAGATTTCTAACTTGCATGTTCTTATGCATTGCTAAGCCTCTATGTTTCTGTCATTTGGACTTCAGACTGTTGGTTGTAACCATTTATCCATGCAAAGAATTCAATCAACCAGTAATAGCATAAACTTCAACTAATGCAACACATAATAATTTCACATAACAATCCACCAAAGTATATTTTGGTAACAAAACCAAGCAATAACATCGAACGACATGGCAAAGTAACACACATAATCTACCCTGTTTTGCAACATCTTAAGTAACGAGACACATACAACAAAAGCAAATCTTTGTTTTTAGTTAGGCTCCTCATCTTGATACTCTTCCTCATCATCATACTCCTCATCAGCAGTTGCATCCTGATATTGCTGGTACTCAGCAACTAAATCATTCATGTTGCTCTCAGCTTCTGTGAACTCCATCTCATCCATACCTTCTCCAGTGTACCAATGCAGGAAAGCCTTCCTTCGAAACATGGCAGTAAACTGTTCGCTGACCCTCCTGAACATCTCTTGGATTGATGTAGAGTTACCAATAAAAGTTGAAGCCATCTTCAGGCCAGTGGGTGGGATGTCACAAACAGTAGACTTCACGTTGTTTGGAATCCACTCAACAAAGTAAGATGAGTTCTTGTTCTGTACATTGATCATCTGCTCATCAACCTCCTTTGTGCTCATCTTGCCACGGAACACGGCTGATGCCGTGAGGTATCGGCCATGTCTAGGATCAGCAGCACACATCATGTTCTTAGCATCCCACATTTGTTGGGTGAGTTCCGGGACAGTGAGGGAACGGTATTGCTGTGACCCACGAGATGTGAGTGGTGCAAAACCAACCATAAAGAAATGGAGTCGCGGGAATGGGATAAGATTGACAGCCAACTTTCGAAGGTCTGAATTCAGCTGCCCAGGGAAGCGAAGGCAGCAAGTGACTCCACTCATTGTGGCAGATATCAAGTGGTTCAAGTCTCCAACTGAAGAGGAAAACAATTTGATTAGACATTAGAAATAACTTCATCTGTCGTATCTCCAATAACATTCACAAATATTTATTCTCACAAAAACAAGGAGGGATTGGCATAGACAGAGTCCTTTCTAAGAATAAAAAGCACAATGCATTTAGCTCTTTCTACAAATGTTCAGAGACCACTCGATTCAGAGAAACATTATTTTGTACCATCTCTGAACAGACTCTTAAACTTGAGACGATTTCTGAAAAGAGACCCAGAAAGATTCAGTTCTCCAAAATATTGCAAATTAATTATAATGCAGTTATGGAACTTTGATAGTAGAATTCAAACTGTCTTAAATATTATGCATATTTAAGAGACCACTCAATTTGTGCATATTCTGCCAACATTGGACCTCAAACTTAATTGTTTGGTAGAATGAAACAGTGAAACTAAAATATACACAGCGTAAGCATGCTAGATATGACGAATCCCAGGCAGCCCAAAAGAATTTTACAGCCTTGACATAGTCTAATTTAAATAAACAACAGTCAAATGCATGGACAAAAACTTATCACATTGATATATTCTAAAGAACAAATACATGTAAAATGCCACAAATAAAGGGGAACAGAGACTTACAACTGGGAGTAGTGAGCTTCAGAGTGCGGAAGCAAATATCATAGAGGGCCTCATTATCCAGAACCATACACTCATCAGCATTCTCAACAAGCTGGTGTACTGACAGAGTTGCATTATACGGCTCTACAACTGTGTCAGACACTTTTGGAGATGGAAACACTGAGAATGTAAGCATCATTCGATCTGGATATTCTTCCCTTATCTTGGATATCAAGAGAGTCCCCATCCCTGACCCAGTGCCACCCCCCAACGAGTGACACACTTGAAATCCTGGAGAATACAAGACAATTCATCAAACAAACCAGCATTATGCTGTATTGCAGTAGTAATAGAACTTCTACACATCAAACATCCAAAAGGCCAATATTGTTTTTTGTAAAGCAGTTTAGGCAAAATCATTTCAATGAACAGATGGAAATTTAGCAATCATGTTCCAAAAACATAACAACACTAAAGAAGCACCCACAAGTTCACACAAACAATTTATTTGCACAACTCTGGTGCATCTGGACAAGAAGCAAATTTTCCCATCTAAAATCCCTACAAGTACAACATAATCTTTTTTCACTAGCGAAATCTAATAATGAAACCAATGTGTCACCAAACTTGTATCTCACTCCATTTTTGCTTGTATTTGATGCCGTATAAAATTTCTTTGATACATAGTTACACACTATTAATAGTACTTTCCAATTGCAAACTTGTAACATGCTTCATTTTTGCTTAAATATATACATACAAGCATGCATGCTTATCTCTGTACAATTACTAGTAGACCTTCTGTTTCAAAGACTCGTCAAACACACCATATAATAACAATGAAATCATTGAACAGCAGAAAGCAAGATTGGGCGAAATGCTTGCTAAACCTAGTTAACCACATTCCGTGGCGTGGTTATGCTTATGCAGCGTTTCATGAGTATGTACACTGCACATGCCGCTTATGGTCCGTGAGATCAAAGGAGATCCATTAAAACGACTCAATGGCAATACAAAGCTAAAAGGAGTCTCCCAAATTAGATCCATGAATCAGATCTAGAGATAAATTTCCAGATCCACAAACCTTAACAAACGTCCATGATAACACTTCATAAACGCACACAAAATCCTGATTTCCCCAAATACCAAGCAAATAATGTAAATGAACAAGAATATTGTAAAAATATAGTAAAAACTTACGAGATCCAACATATACCACATCAGTATCATATATAACATCTTCAACAGACATACATATGAATATATGAACATGGCAAATGGAAGGACAAAAGGGTAACTTCACCTTGGAGGCAGTCACAGTTCTCAGCCTCCTTTCTCACAACATCAAGAACCGAATCAATGAGCTCAGCACCCTCAGTATAATGCCCTTTAGCCCAGTTATTTCCAGCACCGGACTGTCCAAAGACGAAGTTATCCGGCCGGAAGATCTGGCCAACTGGGCCGGATCTGATGCTGTCCATAACACCAGGTTCAAGATCCATGAGCACGGCACGGGGAACAAACCGGCCGCAGCTAGCCTCATTGTAGTAGACATTGACCCGCTCCAGTTGCAGATCTGAGTCCCCTTGGTACCGACCAGTGGGATCGATACCGTGTTCAGCGCATACTACTTCCCAGAACTTGGCACCGATTTGGTTGCCGCACTGGCCACCCTGAATGTGCAGGATTTCACGCATTTTTGAGTATGTGTTTTTCTGGTGTAGGGTTGTGTTGTATGGGTGGAGTGAAGTGAAGGTAGACTAAAGGGGGGAGGGCAATATATGGGGGGTGGGAGGAGGGAAGGTGAAATTTTTTGAAATTGGGTTTTGATTGTGTGTGATGCGGATTAGGTAGTTTCTGTAGGATTGGGTACATGGCATGTCATAATTGGCTTATGTAGATATTTTTGCATTCATTAATCATCTAGAATTATGGCCTGTTTGGGAATGATTAAATTTTTCTACAGTAAATCAATTCTCATTTTCAACCACACATTCTTCAATAAAATAATATTTTCCATCACATCAATAATTTTTTCTTCTTTTTCAACCACACATTTCCCATCATATCACTATTTAATAATATTTTTCAATACATCAATAATTTTTTTTCTTTTTCAACCACACATTTCCCATCATATCACTATTCAAAATCAATTCTCCCCCCCAAAAATATCTCCCAAACAAGCTCTATATATCTTGCAATAGTTGAGAGCTTGTTTGGTAGAGATTAAAATCGAATTAAAATTGAAAAATTAGTCGTTATTGTTGACTTTTATTAGACGTATGAGACCCAATAACAACTATATTTTCAATTTTAATTGGATTAAAATATTTCACAAACAAGCTCTAAGTCTTGTTTGACTCTTTTTATTTCAAAATTATTTATTTTTTCCTCTCATTTTTAATCATACATTTACATAATAAAATATTTTAAATGTAAATTCTAATTTTTTTTGTTACATTTTAATCACACATTTCTAAAAAAATATTATTTGAAACATTATTTTTTTCAATTTCTCTTTGTAATGAGTAATGACAGTCAAATAGGAGTTAAATGAGTTATATAACTTTACATTTAAATAAATATATCATTTATGGCATGTTTGAGCCTCATTTTTTGTGTAAAATATATTTTAGAATAATAGATTAATGAAAATTTTGTAGTTAAAAATGAAAGAAAAGTTTTTGACATATCTATAATATTATTTTATTAAATAATGTGTGGTTAAAAAGAATAGAGAGAAAATATATATTTTTTTAAAAATGGTGATCAAATAAGGATGTAATTTTCATCTGACATTGGCATTGAACACGAGTGGTAATAAATAGAATTGCTCATAGTCTTAAATGGGGTGTCACTTCACGAAAAGGTGAAAAAAGTGGTTACTTTTTTCAAAAAGAAAATAGTCCATTGTTGAGTTTCATTTTTTTCAAAATTCCTTTTCAACTAGGAGCCTGTTTGGTAAAACTTCTCATTTTCTACAGTAAATCAATTCTCATTTTCAACCACACATTCTTCAATAAAATTATATTTTCCA